TTTTTGATAGAGACAGGATTTTGCCATGTTCTCCAGGCTTGACTCCTGAGCAAAGGTGATCCACCCACCTCAGCCTCCTAAAGTACTGGGATTACAGGCATGAGCCACAGCACCTGGCCCAGTGTTTGATTCTTTCAAATCTCTTCTCTACTTTGCAATTTTCTTTTTCCTTTGGGACGGGGTCTCACTATATTGCCCAGGCTGGTCACAAACTTCTAGACTCAAGAGATCCTCCTGCCTCAGCCTCCCAAATAGCTGGGACTGTAGGTGTGCACCACCACACCTGGCTAATTCTTAAATTTTTGTAGAAACAGGGTCTTGCTATGTTGCCCCGTCTGGTGTCAAACTCCTGGTCTCAAGCAATTCTCCTGCCTCAGCCTCCCACTTCCTCAAGAAAGTCTAACTTTTTTTTTTTTTTTTTTGAGATGGAGTCCTGCCCTCTGCCCCATTGCCCATGCTGGAGTACAGTGGCATGATCTCGGCTTACTGCAACCTTCACCCTCCAGGTTCAAGTGATTTCTGTGCCTCAGCCTCCGGAGTAGCTGGGATTATAGGCATCCGCCACCACACTCAGCTAATTTTTGTATTTTTAGTAGAGGTGGGGTTTCACTATGTTGATCAGGCTGTTCTCGAACCCCTGGCCTCAAGTGATCTGCCCATCTTAGCCTCCCAAAATGCTGGGATTACAGGCGTGAGCCACTGTGCTGGCCAAAAAAGTCCATTCCTTTTTTTTTTTTTGAGACAGTTTCTTCCACCCAGGCTGGAGTACAGTGGTACAATCTCAGCTCACTGCAACCTCCGCCTTCCGGTTTCAAGCAATTCTCTTGCCTCAACCTCCGGAGTAGCTGGGACTACAGGTGCCCGCCACCATGCCCAGCTAATTTTTGTATTTTTAGTAGAGATGGGGTTTCACCACATTGGCCAGGCTGGTCTCGAACTCATGACCTCGCAATCTGCCCGCCTTGGCCTCCCAAAGTGCTGGGATTATAGGCGTGAGCCACAAGTCTTCATTCTTTTATACTTAAGATTCTCTACCTGTGGCTCTCATGATATCCAAAAGGACTGATTTATAATGTATTTATACATCTGTTTAAGGGATGTGTTGAGTCTCTGCCCCTCTGCTGCTCACCCACCTTCCACAGCATGTCTGTTTTTCCTCATCATATTCTCAGTGGTTGGCACTGAATATTCGGTAAATATTTTTGTTGTTTTTTTTTTTTGAGATGGAGTCTCACTGTTGCCCAGGCTGGAGTGCAGTGGCGCGATCTCGGCTCACTGCAACTTCTGCCTCCTGGGTTTGAGATTCTCTTGCCTCAGCCTCCTGTGCATCCGGGATTACAAGCATGTGCCACCACGCCTGGTTAATTTTTGTATTTTTAGTAGAGAGGAGTTTCACCATGTTGGCGAGGCTAGTCTTGAACTCCTGACCTCAGGTGATCTGCCCACCTTGGCCTCCCAAAGTGCTGGGAATACAGGCGTGAACCACCCTGCTTGGCCTCAGTAAATGTTTAATGAATTTTTTTTTTTTTTTTTTTTTTGAGACAGAGTTTCGCTCTTGTTGCCCAGGCTGAGTACAATGGTGTGATCTCAGCTCACCGCAACCTCCGCCTCCCAGGTTCAAGTGATTATCCTGCCTCAGCCTCCCAAGCAGCTGGCATTACAGGCGCACGCCACCACGCCTGGCTAATTTTGTATTTTTAGTAGACACAGGGTTTCTCCATGTTGGTCAGGCTGGTCTCAAACCTGAGGTGATCTGCCCACCTTGGCCTCCCAAAGTGCTGGGATTACAGGCGTGAGCTACCGTGCCCCGCCCCAGTGTTCTTTATTAATATCTCTGGGAAACGAGGGACTAGAAGCACAGACTCATCAGAATTCCCCAAGTTATCTAGAGGGTAAACATAAAGAAATATAAACATTATTAATAAGGGAAAAGGTCATGAAAAAAGATGATGGGGAATTTGGATCCAGTAGCTAGCATCTCAACCTGGTATTCAGTGATCTGTACTGTTTTTCATAAAATTGGAAACCAGTTTGGGTTAATGATTCCCATTAATCATTTTAACATGACATTTGTAGGACTTTAATGCTTTGAACACAGAGAATGTAAAGTGAAGACAGGTATTAAACCTTTTTTTTTTTTTTGAGACGGAGTCTCGCTCTGTCACCCAGGCTGGAGTGCAGTGGCCAGATCTCAGCTCACTGCAAGCTC